GAGGTTTCAAGCCGTACGTATTAAATTCCAGATATATACATGCATCTCTTATTGGCAAAAAAAAGAAAGTTACATCCTTCGTGCTGGCCAAATTGTTTACTCTCGGATTTGGTTGTGATTAATGATTAGTGCGTGATTAGTGATGGAGATACTGATATCAATATCTTGTTAGTTGATTGATTAATTAATAAGATTTGGGGGATTAAATAGGGTTTATGATAAGATTCTGCATGTGATCAATCCTTGGGCTTGGCCGAATTAACTATTACAATAATATTTGTTTGCTTTAATAAGGGTTGTTATGTTTGTCAAGAGTATTATTTCCTACCTAACTATTTTATTTTCGTTTGCATGATTTTGAATTCAGAAAACGATAACTTCGAAGTTACCAAGTGAAATTCAAACTTGTGGAAGAGTTCAGACGAAACTCATCCAAGTACATATATATTGGTATGCTTGGAAAATCAGAAGTTTCAAAAGGTCGACATTACTTTTGATATCCCTCTATTCTAAGGACATAACGATATTGGGCCGTTGTGGCATATATATGAATCATCAGAGAGGGAGATCAATATCACCATTACAAAGCCCAAATGTCTAAGTGCTATAAGCCCATTTCTTGGAAATAAAAGGCTCTTCAAAGATAAACATTTTATTTGGCATGTTGCATTTTGGGGGATTAAGTGTGATACTTGGAACGTAAGAAGTAAACAATCAATCATTCATGCATTATTTTGAATCACCTATTTTTCCACCATCCGTGTGGTCATCTAGTTTCAAAAAGTAAGTTTGTTTTGTTGTATATTGTTGTTATATTATATATGTTAATATGTACTATATCTGAATTGTGCATGAAGAGTGAATTCCTTGAAGACATGATGATCCTCTTGATATTTGTTGGGTTTATCCAATTTTGAGATTATCACCTTTCCCACATTTGTCTATAATTTTTGTTGGATATGTCAACTATTGGATGCCAAATTTTTTCTGTACCCGACAATAAATTTTTCATTGGTTTCAGTAATATTTTTACCCAAAATTGAGTTTTGTTCTACGTCGAGTGAGTTTGTATCCAACGGTTGACAGTAAAATAAAATCAACGGCAACGATTAGATTTTGTAACTGCAGCAAAAAAAAAAACCTATGGGCGGGTCCCACCACGCGCAGAGCAGAAGAGCCTTTTTGGGCAGAAACTGCTGGGAACTGGAAGAAGTAGAAGAAATTAGAAAGTCACCGTCGTATCGTTGGTCTTCTTCTCCTTCTTCATTCGACAATTTCCTAAAAACGATGAATCTTCTATAGATACGCGGAGAAGAACCACGCTCGCTACTAGGGTTTCTTTCTATCTATCGATTTCTCATTGTCTTAATTCACGTGAGTCTCCTTCTTCTCTCGTTACTATTTGGGTTCCTGATTTTAGGGTTTCAAGATTTTCGTATATAATCCAAATTAGGGTTGCTTCTGTGTCGTGAGTAGTGGTCGGAACCCTTCTTAGCTGCATTCTAAGTAGCTGTTTCCTTCAGTTTCAGATAGGATCTTCAAAATCACTATTTGTTCATTTCAAAGATTAGATTTTTTTTTATATCGGATTCTTAGTTCAGGCTTTTGATCTCGAAATTAGTTTAATTTTGAGATATGCTTCTGCTTTATTGTTTCAAAATTGAAACTTTTGACGTCATTAAACACATGTACTTGGATCTTTACCATTAAGCACGACAGGTTTCTAAGTTTCATATGACCAGTGTTTTTGGTTACTATGTTAATGTTTGAAAATGATAGCTACAATTTCTCTGCAGATTATCCCACTAGATATTCACTACTAGTTTGTGGCCTTGCTGGTGAAAATGAGTGCTTCGGGGAGAAAACGTGTTTCTAAATGGGATACCAAGGAAGAAGACACTCACCATCTTACTGGAATTGATTACACTGGGAAATCAGGTTACAAAGATCCCGAGCATTCACGGTTCTATCCAGAGGGTAATGGTAGAAATGGAAGTAGAAGGTCTGGTCCTGATGATGACGATGAACATTTGAAATCTAGACAACACTCAGGAGAGGCTTGGCCGCCCAGAAGCAGAGTTTTACATGACGATGGTGATGCTATGATGGGTTACTATGATCCTAGAAAGTCTTCTGAACAAGATGAGAGCAGGCAACAGTATGTCCGCCAGTCACCTTCGAGGGACCGGTCTAGAGCCCGTAGGTCAGTATCGTTTACTAATTTATGATTTTCTTTGTTTCTCATTTTCAGGCTTGATTGATTTTTGCTTGGCTTTTGTGCTTTGTTCAGGAGTGGAAGTAGAAGTAACAGCACAAGTAGGAGCAGGAGCCGAAGCCCATTGCAGAGAGTAAGGCGAGATGGAGGAGGATCCTATGACAAACACAAGTCGAGAGCACGGGTTTCTCCAAGGTCAGGGAGAGAATTTGATGGTAGATACAATAGAGCTGGTGACTATGATTGGGAGGCTAAGAATAGAAAGACAAGGGATACCAACTACTATACAGAAGATTCCCGGGAACAACAGCCCATGAGGGTTGGTGGCAGGACTGACTATAGCTCTGATTTTCTAGAGGAGAATCATAATTCAAGAAGAGAAACTTTCGATCCAACCGTGAGAAGCCATAGAAACGAATTTGCGAGAGAGAGAGAAATGCAGAGAAGGGATGTTCCTGAGGGAGAATTCCACAGGAGCTCCAATGTCCCATGCAGATTTTTTGCTTCAGGTTCAGGGTATTGTCGCAATGGAAACAATTGTAGGTTTTCACACCATGGTGCTCCTTCTGCAAGGGGTAGCCCTGAGAGAAAGCCGCAAAACGAGATTTATAGTAGACAGGAGAATAATAATCATAGTGGCACAACAGAGAGGATGCGGAACAGTCATAGATGGAATGATATTGAAAGATCAGATGCAGGAAAGTCCAGTGAGGTCGAAATTTCTCGTGTCAGTAAAGGTATGTCTGAAGCTAAGGGGAATAATAGCAGCTGGATTGATGATATGGAGATGTCTCCAGATTGGAATTACGGTGTTAAAACTTTGAAGAAACCCGTGAATGAAGAGCACGGCGGCGTATCCCAGAGCTCACAATCACAAGTCCTTAAAGATGCTTTAGCACCTGCTTATGAGCATGGTGCTGCAGCAATAGCTCAGCAAGATGGAAATCAAAGGAATATTGGTATGTTTTCAACTGTGGGCGAAAAGACTGTAGCTTCTACGCATCACAATTTCAGTAACAACCTCGCTAACTCGGCTCCTCCGGTCCAAGCATTCAGTCAGAACATTGAGAATCATAGTGCAGTGCCTTACCAAAGCACACCACTAGCGGTTGGAGGAAGTCAAGTGCTGCTACCTGCTGCTACAAATCTTCCCGGAGGCTTAAACTCGAGCAATCCGGAGAACGGAAATGCTCAAAACACTGTGAGTAGGGAAGAGCTCAATCATATTAGCAACATCTCAGCATCTCTAGCACAGTTTTTTGGAAATGGGCAGCCGATTCCACACCTTCAATCTACTTTGAATCCCAAACAGGCAATGCAGGTGCCTGAAGTATATGGAACAAAGGAACAGTCTACACATACTCAAAGTGACCTCCCCAGTAATAATTCTATTCATACCGGAGGAGTTTCAGCGGTAACCGCATTACCGATAAATAACAGCGACACAGAACAATTGCGGATTCCCGAAATTGTGATCTCATTAGCTGGAAATCCAAAGGCTTCTTCTGAGGAAAACCGGGAAAAAAAGACAGATGAAGAAGCTAGCAAAGAGCCAGATGGGAGAAAGACTGGAGAAGAAAAAGACGCTGCCGAGGATGGTGAGAACGTAGTAGAGGAAGAAGAAGATGATGGGGCGGTCGATGAAGACAACAAGAAAGAAAAAGATCCCAAGGGAATGAGAGCGTTCAAATTCGCTCTAGTTGAGATTGTTAAGGAGCTTCTAAAACCTGCTTGGAAAGAAGGTGGGATGAACAAAGATGCTTACAAAAACATAGTCAAGAAGGTCGTTGACAAAGTAACGGGAGCAATTCAGACCGGAAACATACCTCAAACACAAGAGAAGATCGACCATTATCTATCAGCTTCAAAACCAAAGCTTACCAAGCTTGTTCAGGTATGTTTGTTTGTTCACACAACGCTTATTTCAAGCTTAACACCAAATTTGCAGTCACTTGAGGTTTCTTTAACCAAGTTCTTGTCTTCAACTTCCAGGCATATGTTAGCAAAGTTAAAAAGAGCTAAATTAAATGGAACTCCATTGTTTCTCTAAAATAGAAAAGCCACCAAAAATGCTGGAGCTGCTGAGAAATGTTAAAAACTTCTACTTCACTTTGAGGTAGGTGAAGAATCAGGCAAGCTAATGTTTGCTTCTTGGTCTTCAGTTGTGTGTAGATATAGATATTCCACAGAGATTTTGTCAGGAAAAAATGAAATTTGTTTTTGTTGGATTTAATAATTTAGCAGAGCAGAGCAGGACAAAGGTTCCATTTATCGATTCTGTGTTGTCAGATTATAGAAAAGGTAGAACAACAAAGTTAGATGTTGATTTTTTGTCTTGTAACGCTTTTGTTCTTTACCAGTTTCGATCTTCTTAATCTGAACTCTTTTGCTCAAGCTTATGCAATCTTCTCCTTAATTTTCAATGCTTATATTATATCTGTAATAGCACCTAATTGACAAAGTATGAATCTGCTATGTCCCATCATTATTAATAATCGCATTTAACTACATTACCTAACTTCTGTTTCTTTACCTCTGTTTAGTAACAGAACAACAACATAGTACATTATCCGATTTAACGATAAATTAATCATTTGGTTGATAATGTTTCGCCATCAGAAACAAAAAAGACAAGGATCAATGACCAGAACATTTTTTTTTTTTTATCGTCTAGATTTATTATTAATTGCAAATTATGAAAACTGTTACATAGATGATTCTACAACTGTTACAAGGATCAATGACCAGAACATTTCTTAAAAGACAAATTTTCCAAAAAAATTTATATTTTTGTTAATATTCTAAATTTACAAAATTGTCTTTTTTCCAAATCTTGAACTTGAAGCATCATCGAACTTTATTTAATAAAATTTAGTAAATTTAATTAGTGAGCAGACATCGGAATCGGACAGTGTCCTCTTTCCTCGCCTATCTCTCTCTCTTCCTCTGATCTCCGATCTCAATCAAACCGCGTCTTGATTTCTTCTACGTTTCTGAAGAACCTCCAAGTCTCTCTGCTCAAATTCTAATCTTCCGTTCTACTTTTTCCGTGGTATTGATTTTGGATTCCATTGCTTCTTCTTCCGATTTGGTTGGTTTTTCCACGGATTTGAACGATACCCATTTAGTGATTCGATCTGTTTATCTCTGGGTTTGCGTCAAAATCATGTCTTTTCAACTGGTAGGTTACACCTAGGAGATTGGATCATCTCTGTGTTCGAGACATTGATCTTGCAGTGTGTTGTTGTTGGATGGTTCTTCTTTTGCATGATGGGATTAGAATTCGGATTCGATAGAAGTGGAAACGAAAGATTTAGAAGAGATTGATCGTATATGGTAACTAACTAGATTGTCCTGAATCTTTTCTTGTGGTTTTGAATGCCGAAAATGCGGTTGAATCATTAAGAAACAATGAGTAATTTCACAAAGAGTTCATCATTCAATAGAAGGGCATTGAGTTCCTTAGCTATAGAAAGCCCTAGGAACTCTTCTTCTAGTGTCTTCACTAGTCCCATTGGCTCAGCTTTCGCTAGCCCGAGATCACAGAACTTTGGAGGAAGTCCACGCCCGTCTACTAATCGGTTAAAAGAGATCTCATATTTGTTTCAGGTGCTTATTATCGCCGGAACTATTGTGTCGTTTCTTGTTATCATCGCTGGGGGTTATTTGTATGTTGTTCCTAGCCTCGGTCAAACGTTCTTGGGTTACAATGGGGCATTGGAGTTTAATAGCTCCGTTGCGGGTGATAAGGAATGTGATATATTCGATGGGAATTGGGTCGTTGATGATAACTACCCGTTATATAACGCTTCGGAGTGTCCATTTGTAGAGAAAGGATTTAATTGCTTAGGGAACGGGCGTGAACACGACGAGTATTTAAAGTGGAGGTGGAAGCCTAAGCATTGTACTGTTCCAAGATTTGAAGTAAGTGATGTATTGGAGAGATTAAGAGGTAAAAGGATAGTTTTTGTGGGAGATTCGATGAGTAGGACGCAGTGGGAGTCTTTGATATGTATGTTAATGACAGGGTTGGAAGATAAAAGGAGTGTTTATGAAGTCAATGGGAACAATATAACGAAAAGGATACGGTTTTTGGGTGTGAGGTTTAGTTCCTTTAATTTTACAGTTGAGTTCTACCGATCGGTTTTCTTAGTTCAGCCTGGGAGGCTGCGTTGGCACGCACCAAAACGTGTAAAGTCAACGTTAAAGTTAGACGTTTTAGATGTTATTAACCACGAATGGAGCTCAGCTGATTTTCTCATATTCAATACTGGTCAATGGTGGGTGCCTGGGAAGCTTTTTGAAACGTAAGCTGTCTTCAAAACTTTACAGATTATAGAATGTTTGTGATTGAGATTCTTATATTTTCGCCTGTTTCTAACTGTGTTTTGGAACGTTAGTGGTTGTTACTTTCAGGTTGGAAATTCATTGAGGCTCGGAATGTCAATTTCTGCAGCGTATAGAGTAGCATTAGAGACATGGGCATCATGGATAGAGAATACAATTGATCCAAACAAAACCCGGGTTTTGTTTCGTACATTTGAGCCATCGCATTGGAGGTACAAACTGAAATTATTTAGCTTTACCCGTTTGTCTACTACTTTTGCTTAGATCATCCCTAATCTAAGTTCTTGTTGTTGTTTAGTGATCATAGATCATGCAATGTGACAAAGTATCCAGCCCCAGATACTGAAGGAAGAGACAAAAGCATATTCTCTGAAATGATCAAACAAGTAGTGAAGAATATGACAATTCCAGTATCAATATTGGATGTAACTTCGATGTCAGCGTTTAGAAGCGATGGTCATGTTGGTTTATGGAGTGATAATCCTTTGGTTCCTGATTGTAGTCATTGGTGTCTACCTGGACTACCTGATATCTGGAATGAGATCTTGCTCTTTTTCCTCCTCTCTAGACAACAAGTAAAAACTCAACTTTATCTGTCTATTTTTCCTAACACAACAGTATCAGTATATTCTCTTATGTCTACATATTTTACTTAATTTGCAGGTTCAGTAAAATGGATAATTGCAGGTTTTTTTTGCAACATAGAAAAAAGATTAACGACCCTCGAAGTCTGAATCTCTCGGAGCTAATTGCTCATATTTATTCTGGGAGCTAAAGACAGATAAAGGGGTCCAAATATTGGTGAAAGTTAAAAATGATTCTTACTTAATTCATTCTTTTATTACTTCTTCTAGAGATGTTAATATGGGCTAACCCATACCATTTATACCCACCCCTATTTATTCTCTTTATTTAAACTCATTTAAATTTTCTTGACCCATTTAAATCCATTTAGACCCATATAACATTGTTTTTAACAACATAATATAATCAATAAGTATTTGATTGATTATTTAAAATCTACAGATTATTTCATCTCTATAGTATTTTTGCAGTCACTTTTTGGCGGGTGAGTAAAAGTGTGTTCGGATATAAATGGTACATGTCCGGTTAAGCAAATTTGTTCATAAATTTTTGTTGGATCGAATTATATTTAACCCAACTGTTACTCTGGATATTCTATATTTAACAATGTAGATATTTAGAAGATTTGATTAAGATTTAAATTTATGAATTTCCTATTATCTTTGTTTGATTTTTTTAACTGTTTTGAATCATCAAATAATACACAAAGTAAAAAAAAATAAAAAATTGCATATATTGTGATTTGAAATTTAAAAAACGGACATAAATTACCCAATTGACAAAAAATATGTGTTCAACGTTCCATATCGACTAAAATATTTAGAAAATGATTCAGAATCATATCATAAATAAAATCAAAATGAATCAAATTCGAATGAACATGAAACCTAACTTAACAAACATCTAAATTTAAAAGTTTGTATACGGTTTAGTTGATCTTTAGTTTAATTGTTTAATTTTACTAGAGATATTAAATTTTAAATTTTTAAAAAGTTTTAAATATTAGAATTGATATAACTAAAATCAATAAATTTTTATAATATTATGAACATTTGAACAAAAAAATAAATAAATAATAACACGGGACATGGTTATATGGCGGGACGGGTTTGAATCAACATTAATAAAAATTTAAAATATTATTAACCCGCCTCTTCAATACGGCTTAAATCCTTACTTTATTATTTGTTAACACCACAAATATTAGACATATCTAATCAGCCTAATTTAGATTGTATTAACACCACAAATATTAGACAACTAGAATCGGACCCGCGGTCCACCGCGGGGAAATATTGGTTTACATACGTTGAGTTTAATATTGTGTGTTTTCAGTATAGCAAATCATGTAGTATACTTATAAATATTCATAATAACGAATTGTAGAGAAAATGTTAAAATTTTTTTATAAATAAACCCATCGTATTAATTATGATTTACAAAATAGAATTTTGTGTTTTAAATTTCTAAAATTAGACGATTCATAGGAATTAGAGTACTCAAAATAGGTCAAAAACCGCGGATCGAGCCCAAATCATCTTACTATGGGGTAGATTTGGGAAAATATATTAAACACGCAAATAAGCTGGCCACATGGATTAATTCGCAGTGGGTCATAGGTTTAATCGGTTTTCATCCGCGGATTGGTGGATCAGTTCGCATGTTAGTATTTATGGATAAAATTATAATTTATTCAACATGTGGTAATTTAGACAAACTATAATAGTATTTTTATTTATTTATTTATTTTAGTAGTATTTTAAATTTTGGTTACTTTAAAACTATTTAAACAAAATCCACGGACAATCCCGCAAATCCGCATACATTCGCGAGACGGGTTTGTATTTCATATATGCTACCCGCGGATCGTGCGGACCGACAACTACAAGTCAAAATATTTTTTGCCTATCGCAAACGGGCTTAACGGGACGAATCAACTCGCTTTGACAGCTCTAATGAGAATATTATTTAGTCATACAACAAAATGAAGTTTGAACATAAGAATAATAGAATATGTATCTTATTTGTTAGATGAGAGATTGAAAGATGAAATATAATGATTAAAAATTAGTTATTATTTTTCATGATTCACAAAATTTAATAAATACTTATCATCTTGTTGAATAATTCTAAAATCATATTCAATAAATCTTTATAAATTGAAAATTAAACTTCTTTGGTAAGCTATAGGTATGAAAATACCATAATTTCGATTTAGTCTAATTAAATTAAAATTAGTTACATGGATTTTATATCTATTTAATGTACACGACCAAAATAAAAATATCTATTCAATTTATAAAACATATGGGGTATTACTTATGTGTGATAAATTTTCTAGAAATCTTTAGAAGCAAGTAAGATATCTTTCAATTAATGATAATTGGCTAAAATGAGCGAAATTAATGATAAAAACGTTGATTGTTATCGAATTAGTTCCAAAAATATATGAAAAATTTATTATACGTAATTAATATATAATATTGTTAAAATATGCTTTTATAATTAGTTGTCATAAGTACAATCAGATTTTATTTGATTTCCATAAATATTTCATTTTTCATTCGATTTTTCATTATTAATTCGAATTTATATTCCAAAAAAAATTCAAAGATCCGATTTCAGAATTTCGGGTCAATTTTCTGATTTTAACCTGACCCATTTTCATTTGTACTTCTCTTTTAATAGTATAGAGATTTAATAACAATTGTAATCTATAAAATATAAATGTCTTAGAAAATGATACAATTTGCAAACTTATATATATAATGAATCATCATTAAATTTTTAAAATTACTATTTTTAGAAACAAATCACGAAACGAGTTAAGAAATTACGGACGGGTTATATTGCGGAACGGGGTTATATGGCGGACGAGTTTGAATCAATATTTATAAAATTTTAAAATATTATTAACATGCCGCTTTAATACGGGTTAAATCCTCTATTTATTAACTATTTGATACAATACCCGAGAGAAGAGATGACCTACTTGTTATATCTGACTAAAATATGTCTTGCGTTTAAACAGGTTTGTAGTAATATATTGGTTTTAAATTTAATTTTACTTTCTTTTGCATGGGGCTATACATCTTTGATGATATATCAAACCAAAGCCTTATATCATGTAACTCATTAAACCCAGTTAACACTCGTGGCTAGCCACTTGTATAATTGATTTAATAAATTTAACCTAAATATTGAAAAATTCCCATATATATATATAAAAGTTACGACGAATTTTAGATGCTATCTAAAATTTTATACTGAGGCTTGATTTCAGGCTTGATTGAGGGATGAGGAGCTGAACCGAATGATGGGCTTGGAGCCACTGGCACAGTGTCATTATCGTTTCTGCATGCCGCAATCGCCGTAAATACCAGTCCGACAAACATGTGAATTGATGACAAGGGCATGCAAGACCTTAGATACACTCTTATACCTAAAAAATATTAGAAAGCATAAGAATCAATTGGAAAAACTAAGTAAAATATTAAAGTAAAAATGCAAAATAAAGAAACTACATTAAATCGCATTAGAGTGGACGAAACTAAACACTAATATGAATGCTCAAGCAAATATTGATCAAAAATACTCTTACAAACAAAATGAGTTCACGATAAAGAAAAACAACCGATAGATCTACTCTTTGTATAAAAAACTAAACGATTATATAAGAAAGAAATATAAAAGATGTATTAAGATGCGTTTTCCTCACCATGGAAATCAAAGAAAAGCTTCAAAGCTTCTCTTTTGATGAGGTTCATGCATCCAAGTTTATAGATTTCTAAGCTTTATAACAAAAACTAGACAAAAACCAAACTTTTTAAGCTAAGGAAGTCTAAAAGTTGCGTTTCTTCACTATAGGCTCACAAGAAAACTAAAATAAAACTTTAAAAAATCGACTCTTTTAACTAAATAGAACTTCTGAAAAATAATCAAAGTGAACGAAACGTGCTACGAAAATATATATACAGTAGCCTAGATTTCTAAGTTTTCATAGCACATTGTTTTTTAAGAGAGGTTTATACAAAGAGTAGATCTAGCTTTCAAGCCTCAGTAGAACCGAATACATTAAATCGCATTAGAGTGAACGAAACTAAACACTAATATGAATGCTCAAGCAAATATTGATCAAAAATACTCTTACAAACAAAAGGAGTTCTCGATAAAAAAAACAACCGATAGATCTTTTCTTTGTATAAACCTCTCTTAAAAAAAAAACGATTTATAAAACTCAACGATAGATCTACTCTTGTATAAACCTCTCTTAAAAAAAAACGATTTATAAAACTCAACGATAGATATACTCTTTGTATAAAAAACTAAATGATTGTATAAGAAACAAATATAAAAAATGTATTAAAATGCGTTTTCCTCACCATGGAAATCAAAGAAAAGCTTCAAAGCTTCTCTTTTGATGAGGTTCACGCATCCAAATTTATAGATTTCTAAGCTTTATGACAAAAACTAGACAAAAACCAAATTTTTTAAGCTAAGGAAGTCTAAAAGCTGCGTTTCTTCACCATAGGCTCACAAGAAAACTAAAACAAAACTTAAAAAAAAATCGACTCTTTTAACTAAATAGAAATTCTTAAATATAATCAAATATCATACCATATTACCATTCTACTTTTTGTGGAGAAACACGAATGAGAGGCATTTTGTAGGTGAGAGAGAGACATTTTGGCTTCTCGGCTCCTGTATATATAGGGGTTTTCATAGCACATTTACCTATATTACCCTTACATTGTTTTGCATTAGAAAAGAAAGATGAAAGACAAGTAAAGGGGTTCTCTAGTCTTTTCTAAATTGATGCACCTAAAGGACTGCTAGCTAGGAGTGAAGTCATATCTTTTATTTATTGGATACAAACATCAACCTTAAAAGCTCAATAAATTGGCATATATCTTTAAAAATTAGTCCATTTTTCTTAGATTTTTCATTTATCCCAAAATGGCAACTATTTGATACAATACCCGAGAGAAGAGATGACCTACAGAAATCTATAATGGCATCCAAATTTATAGATTTCTAAGTTTTATAACAAAAACCAAACCTTTTAAGCTAAGGAAGTCTAAAAGCTGCGTTTATTCACCATAGGCTCACAAGAAAACTAAAACAAAACTTTAAAAAATCGACTCTTTTAACTAAATAGAACTTCTGAAAAACAATCAAATATCATAGCATTCTACTTTTTGTGGAGAAACAGGAATGTGAGGCATTTTGTAGGTGAGATAGAGACATTTTGGCTTATGGGCTACGGTATATAATTACATATTTAGAGGTATCAAAAGAGATAAAAAATAAGTCGATTTAACTCATCCTACATAGGATTATTGCCAATTCGGTCAATGTCGACTCAAGAAAACAGATGCAAAAAAAAAAAAAAAAACTCAAAAGTACACAATCTAAAAGAGCGACGTATATCAAGGGGCGACCATGAGGTCATCTTGCTTGTGGTCAATCTTAATGCCAAAATAGCAACCACTGGCGACTACAAAGCAAATTTCTGAACTCTTTTACTTGTTTCTTTAATAAGATATGTTCTTTTATGTTGTGCTTGCTTACTTGCAATATGTCTAAGAAGTCATCTAATCAGGTTTTATGGATTCAAAATGTTCAGGATTCATAGGTCTAAATCGATTTTAAAACATGGATTATCTTATGGTCGTTCACCTTTATTACTCTTAAGTTGTCACAGAGAAGAAGAGAGGGGAGAGAGATTTGGGGAAAGGAAATATTGGAGCTAAGCGTAAAGATTGTGAAGCGTAAAGGAAAACTAGGTTATATATCTACGAGAAAACAAAAACATTAATAAACCAAAACAAAATTGACAATTTTTTGTTGGGTAAATATTGGTGCACGATTTAGCACCTCCGACAATTCTGATCTAATCCGAGGAGGATTTAAATTGAACTAAACAGTTCGAATAAACTAGGGGAAAAAAAAAAAAAAAAAAAAAAAAAAAAAAAAAGGGACAATCGTTCCCATTGAAACCCTCTCTTCTCTCTCCTAAAGCCAGATCTTAGATCTACTTCATCTCCTTTTTTCTTTTTTCGTTTATTGATCTTCAGTGTCGGTTGATGGGTGAGGGAGTGAAGCGGTGGTGAGCGTCTTTCTTCTCCGGTGGTGTGAGGTGTGGTTTGGTCTTTGGCTCATTACTTGTTGGTGGCTCTCCTTCACGGCGGCCAGAGAAGCGGTTCCTTCGTTCTGCTGGTTAAGGACAACAGTAGATTGGATCTTGTTTCTCACGGCTCGGCGGCTTGTGATTGTGGCTCCGGCGAGTAGCGGAAGTTGAGCTTTCGATCGGTGGGTTTCACCACTTTGCGAAGAGGTTAACGGTGGCTCCTTGGCAGGATCCTAGATGGCTAGTTTCGGGTGATCCTTGGCCGGATTTGGGCGGTTGATGGCTTGTTTTGAGCCGGCGTCCATCAGCTGCCTCCGTTTTTGGCTTCCTCTTTGCCGGATCTGAAGACTGATTTAGCTTTTGGAGTGGTTCAAGGAAGAACGTCGAGGGAAGTAAGGGTTAGTTTTAATGTCTCTCTTCTTGCTAGGTCGGGGAGAAGAGGTCCTGGGTCTCGGTTGTGGCGGATCTTCCTTTCCCGAAAGGAAAGTTCTGGGTTCGGTTTGTGTCTCGGCGACAGGTTGCGACCGGATTTGCTAGCTCCGGTCAAAGTCTTGCTGTTGAGGTCTTGTCCGCAAAGGAACCGTCCTTGTTAGCATCGGATCTGGAAGGCGAGATTCGTGTTTTCCGGTGTACTGCCTTCTTCAGATCTCACTTTGCTTGTGTTTCTGATTGGGCCATTTCTTTTTGTAACCCGTTAATTTTCTAGGCCCATCAGCCTAAGCCCTTTTTGGGAATTATTAATATATTAAAAAAAAAAAAAAAAAAAAAAAACTAGGGAACACCGGTTTAGCCTGTTAATGGATTAATGGACGAAAGCCCACAAAGAGATCGTCCTCCGACCTCTTGCCAAGATAGAGATCATCCAGCCGAACGATAAAATTCTACTAATTTATAGAGATATTAATTTATCGATACTAATTTATAGAAAGATTTGACTAATTTTGTAATTTTTAAAAAAACTTCTATATTCGAAAAAAGTTCTTTTCGTTATAACCAATATCCTTCTACATACAATACTCTACGAAATTATTGTCTAAACATTTCAGCCGATGTGCGACATTAAACACACACTTTTTTTATTAATTGAGTAATATATTTCCGTTTCTTAAAATTTGAATCAAAATATATGTAGGACCAAAATTTGATTTATATTAACTTTCTTTCTTATATGATGAATCAAAAAAATATTTAAAAAAATCAAACAAAGATTATAAAAGACTTATAATTTTATGATTTGAATTTTTAGTATTTTTTTATATGTACCCTGTGATACATATATAATTTTTAGTATTATAATTACATATTTAGCGGTGTCAAAGGTATTTAAAACCCTTTAAAAACGCTTGTAATTTCTTTTAAAACCATTTAAAAACGCTTGTAATTTCTTTTCAAACCCTTTTAAAACTCTTTTAAATCTTTTAAAACATTTTATAATGGTTTACAAGATTTTTTAAAGGGTTTAAAAGGAATTACAAAGGTTCTAAAATATGTATAAAGGTTTTTAAAGAGTTTTAAAAGGATTTACAAATGTTTTAAAGACTTTATAAGGATTTTAAAATCTTTATAAATCTTTTTCAAATTGTTTTAAAACTATTTAAAAACTCTTGTAAATCCTTTTAGAACCTTTTATAAGGATTTTAAACCATTTAAAAGAATTTGAAAATATTTACCAAGATTTTTAAAGTGTTTTAAAAGGATTTACAAGTGTTTTAAAAAATATTATAAGGGTTTTAAGAGGTTTTAAAAGTTTTTAAAAGGATTTACAAGTATTTTTAACGACTTTACAAAGGTTTTTAAAGGCTTTAAAATAATTTACAATGATTTTATAAGAATATTTTAAAGGATTTACAAAGGTTTTAAAAAGATTTTATAAGGGTTTAAAAAAACTTACAAGGATTTTTAAATTTTGACGGGAAATTTTTTGGCGGAAAAACTTTTGACGAATTTTTTTTACTGGTAGAAAAAACATTTAGGTGGGAAAAATAAATTTTGTTTTGGCAGGAAATTTTCAATTTTTCATTACATGTTCTCACTAAATGGACGGTAATTTAGTCATTGTACATTAAAAAAAAAGTATTCTTGAAAATTGAAAATAGGAAAGAATATTTTTGCAAAAGAGCATAAAAAGGGGTATTTTTCCAGATCCCCCTAGAAAGATATGTTAAAGATCCGCTATATTTTTATGTTCATGAATATTAAATACATTATGCAGTTTTAAGAACTCAATTTATATATAATTTGCATTACGAGAATTAAACTTTCTTAGGTACTGATTAGATTGCTCACCAACTCATGGAAAAGCATAATTCCTACTCCTACTATTATAATCAACTAGATAAATAGGCGGGTGTAAGAAATAAAATAATTTTTTAATAATAATATTTGAATTCTAAATGGTAAATCTATACTTTTCTTAATATTTAATTTAGTAAGTTTGTCTTCAACTAAATTTTAATCTTACACATTATATTCACTACAAGAAATTTGTTCATTGTTAGCGCTAAAAATATGCTATCTTACGTTATATATAGCGAATTCACAAACGCTATGTTCTCGGCAGCTATGGTAGGTGTCACTCATAAGATAGCATTGTTTGAAACGCTATTATAGTTAATGATATAATAGCAAAATTTAAACGCTGTGTTAAAGTTTAATATAGCACTTTATTTTTTTGTTAAAAAGTAACGATGATTGTAATTTCGTGTCATAATAGGTGATTCAATGTTAGCAATTAGTTCATGCTGCGAAATATATTTTAGTAGCTTTACGTTTTACGCTATGATATATGATTCTTCTACAATGACAGTGAATAATTGCTAAGTTTTGTTTAATTACGCTGTTTAATTATGCTGTAATACAATCTATCACAACTTGTTTTTTTTGCTATTATATGCATTCCCAGAACCCAACATAGACAAAAAAAAGTCTGAATAGAAATTTCATCTTAAGTCTGAATCCAATCCAACATAGAGAAAAAATCCATACAAATCATTCAACATAACATAAGTCTAAATCCAAAGTAGACAACAAGTCTGATTCCGAATTTCATAACACAAGTTGATTAGTCTAGTCTTAAACTAATTTAAACTAGCTAACCTGGACCAAAGTGTCTTCATTCCCTGCAATAATCAACAATGTCTCCTTTCAGTTTCAGATATAATACGAAAGTACAAGGATCATAGTAATCACAAAACTTACCCCAGTTTATTCTTAAACTCAATAGATGACCAACTTATCCATTGGCCATGCAATAGCTGAACCAAGTGAATCTCTCATATACTCGATTTCATCTGATGGCCTCCAAACTGCTGCATCATCTATTTTCATTATATCCACCCAAACTCTAGCTGCATTAGCTCCCAAGCGAACATGGTGTACCTTTAGGTCTGGGTCGATTGAATGCACACGTCCTTCAGCAACCACTTGCTTCTTTCCACTAATATCCATTAACTTACACTTCTGATTGGCCTTGATAACTTCAGCTACACTTTTACGCTGCAATGTTACAATATAAACCAGGTTTAATGCATGTAGAAAAATAACCAGATTCAGGCTTCGAATGGTAAAAGCAGTTCAAGCGTTGCAGATCATGCAGATCTTGCAGAAGATGCAGGACAAGTGCAGAACATGCAGAACATGTAGGACAAGTGTAGATCATGCAGATCAAGCAGTTCAAATATGAGTTCGAATGGTGAAAGCTGTTCAACATGTGCAGATCAAATTATTAAATAATAAATAATACACAATATAACTAAAATTTTATTAAGAACTACATATTGTTATAAACTTTATTAAAAATACATATATAAAATATAGTTTTCTTTTTAGTTTATTTTTTATTTTATTTTATATAATGTTATAATATATTATGCTATGTATAAATAAAATTATATAAAACTAAAATATATTAATCTATTAAATAATTTTAATTATTAAACATAAAATATCCAAATACAACACATAAGAGTGAAAAAAAAAGACAATATATAAGCAAAAACAAATTAAATTTAATGGAAAGTATTTTGATTTGCCCATAACATATCAGCAATATTTTCTCTTATATTTGCCATATAATTTCCGTCAGGTTTACTACCTCTCTCCATGTCATCAAGATCATTCTCAGAATTTATGTTGTTGATATTTGTATCTCCCATTACTTCAACAAAATCCTCATCAAAATAATTCGAAATTCTGATAAAATTATGTAGTCCCATTGTAGCCGTTACCACTCTTTTTTGAACATCAATATCATATCTGGGAAATTCACAAAGAATCCTCCATTTTTTCTTCCAAACTCCAAATGTCCTCTCAATAACAGAACGTAGAGATGCATGACATCGATTAAACAACTCCTGTTTATTCCTAGGAGGAGGACCATTGTAGAATTGTGATATGTGATACCTAACAACTCCGTTCCGCGAAGACCTATAAGGTGCCAAAAAGCCTTGTTTATTTGGATACCCAGAATCAACTACATAATACTTGTCTCTTGGAGGCAAAGGAAATTCAGAATCATTATCTTGTGCCATCGTTAGAACTGCTGTATCGTGACACGATCCAGGTGCTCCATTCCAAACATATGTAAACAACATATTTATATCGCATATTGCCATGATATTAAACGATGTTCTATCGTGTCGATTCCAATACATTCCTTGTAGTTCAGGCTTCACCTTAATACATACATGAACTCCATCTATAGCTCCAACAAATCCACTGAAATATGGCCAATATCTTCGATCCATTTGTAGTTTTTCAGGAATTCGACGTAGTTCTTGTCTTGTTGGAGTCTTGATATAATCACAAGCAAGTAACTCTGTCGCTCTAAGGACTTCAAAAAATTTCCGATTCACTGTTTCTTGCGTTCGTCCAAATCGTAACCCAACATCTCTTTGAACTTCATTGTGTCCACATATCCGTAAAAACATGGCAACACTCTCTTCAATGCTAACATTCAATGTAGGTTGTAATCCATAACGTGTTTCCATTATGTCACATAATGATCTAAAACAATCAAGAGACATTCGTAGTAACTGAAGACAAGCAGCACTATCTTCTTGTATTCGACGCCAAATATTTCTCCATCCCAACCCGCCATCTATTTGAATTGGCCCTCTTTCAAAATTTCGATTGTAGTAACTCAATGACGGTTGAATTATTAACTCTTCAAATTGCTCATTTTCCAAATTTCATAATTCAATTCTCTCTTCATAATTTAGATTGTGTACACCTTGTGATCGCAATTGGCATATACGAAAAGCCTGAAATTTTTAAACACGAAACAAAAATAAACTAATGAGAAATAAAGTAAATCAACAGTACTAGTACATTCTGACATTACAAAAATATAATGCAAAATAAAACATAAAGGAAACTAAAACACAAGCGTTATTGAACTAGTTCTCAGATGCTGAATCACTTTGATGAGTTTCATTTAAATTTAGTCCTCCTCCAGATCCCCAAATGTTGAATAATCCTCCTCGTCTTCGTGGTCGTGATGTCCTTGGTGTAGAAGAATAATTCGTGAAACCAAATTCTGGTGATACTCCCCTAACCATGTTTTCGGCTGAAGGAACATCTTCTTCATGTGAAACTCTTTGATGAGCATTTGTCGTAGTTTCCTCTTCCGTTCCCAATGAAAATCCACGTTGAACATTTGTTGGAGGGATATATTGTGGAGCATTTTGTGATGAACCCCATTGTCGGGCATTTGGTGATTAACGCCACTGTGGAACATTTGGTGGTGAACTCCATTGGGGAACATTTTGTTGTGTTCCCCATTGTGGGGCATTTGAAGGTGAATTCCATTGGGGAGCAGTTGGAGGCGTTCCCCATTGTGGAGCATTTGAAGGTGAATTCCATTGCGGAGCAATTGGAGGTGAACTCCATTGCGGCATATTAGGAGGTGGACCCCATTGTGGTGCAGCTGGAGGCATTCCCCATTGTGGGACATTTGAAGGTGAATTCCATTGCGGACCAGTTGGAGGTGTTCCCCATTGTTGAATACCAGGACCCCATTGACTACCAGAACTTTGACCCAATGAATAATTACCACCAAAAGATGGACTTCCAAAAGAAAAACCGCTTCCAATAGAACTCCCAAAATTTTGTCCGGAAGCTAACCGTTTTCCCACATATTCACTGTCCGGTGTATATCCAGTAAGAGCTTGTAAAAATTTCAGCTTATCTTCGATGGTTCTTTCAGCTCTATCAATGAAGTACTTACGCCAAAATCTTTCTTCCTTAAATGCATGCATGCAAGCCCAATAAAAATCAGTGTCATTCGGAAGGGCCATTGATTCAAATATCTTCACAGCCATATCGAATTCGTTGTAATCAGCCTCGTCAAAAAAATTCGGGCGCAACTGTTGTAAACTTTGGCGTTGAAACTCTCTGAAGCCAGTTATTGTATCTGTTAGGGTTGTTTCAAATGATTGTTTTCTACGACTTCCTCGTGATCCACTCCTGGTAGAAATTTGGGAGTTTCCTGCACCTCTTTACGAACTACTTCCCCGCCTGACTCCACCTCGTTGTTGAATTCTGGATGTAGGAATCTGAAAAGGAGCGGCGGGTGACGAATTCTGATGCAAACTTTCACGGATGAACGCATTTGACTGACGTGTTTCATCATCAATGTTAACACGATACACCTCTTCATTTTCTTGTGTCTCAGGAACTTGACTGTCTTGCATATCACCATCATATGTTTCAAAGTATACATGACCTTCATCATTATCCAGACCATCATTCCTCAGCTGTTCTCTTCTTTGGTTCACAGAGAATTGAGGCTGCGAGTGGACGTCATATAATATGAAACATCGTTGCATCACATCCCAAAGCTCTGGCGGCTTTCGTTTAAATGATTTGACAATTTTACATACCTGTTAATAAGATAATAAATTTTTTAGCTTATAAATCTTTTTAAAATTTTACTAAATTATATTTTGGTTATGAGAGACATTATAAATACTTACTTCACGCTCTTTCCACCATGAGTTAGATGCCGATATCACAGATGTAGTAGTATCAACCGAGATGCCCGTGGAATCTTTCATAAGATGCTTGTATTTCTTGTATTTTCTTTTTAGTTGATCAAGTTTTTCTTTGAAGAACCGATAATTTATGTTTAGATTAAACTCCTTGTTAAACTTGTCAACGATAAATTCTCTACCAAGGGGTGTAGGATCTTTGAAACGATAATTGCCCATGGCAATTGCTTGATCGTACAACTCAAGAAATATTCTTTCTCGGTTAGGAGTCCATTTAAAATTATCTTCACTCTACAAATTATAAAAAAAATTTAATTATTTTTATTTAAATTCTAATTACTTGAAAATTCAGAAAAAAATTAATTTCTAACAAACATACCCGTGCTGATGTTTCTGTGGGAAGATTTAGATCTTCTTCTTCTGAAAAATTTGTGTATTGTCGTCTATTCGACGCCATATCTACAATTTTAAAAATAATATAAGTAATACTAAAACAAATAATAATATACTAAATAATGTGTTGTGTGACAATAAAAAAATATTATGTAAATATTACACATTTATGAAATATAAACAGTGAAAGATAGAAATTTAGAGTTATCGACAATCAAACATAATTTACAAATTAATATGTATGAAATTATTATGCATATCTACATCATAAAAAGCATATCATTTTAAATATCATAATTTTGAATTATTCTATTTGTAAGTATATATAAAAATAAAAGTATCTATTAAAAATATATTAAAAATAAAAGTATATATTAAAAAATAAAAGTATATTTTAAAGTATATAGTAAAAATAAAATAATAATTAAACTAATACTAAATAAACTTATAAGAAGCAATATAAATTTAATTACTTTAAACTAACAAACTTCTTTTACTAGAATATTGCAAAGTAAAGATGTAGTAGTAAATTAGATTGATGCATGAATCTATAAATGATTAACAAAATATATATTTATGTTGTTTGGCTAATATTGTCCCCTAATATTCTACATCATATAAACGAAATTTTAATCTACATTATTGCATGAAAAAATAATAAGTATTCATAACTAATGACATCAATAAATTTAACATAAACATCAAAACAAAATTAGGATAAAAAAAATTAATGTATACCTGTAGATAAGGTTCCCTTTGATTTTCAACGTTGCTATTTCCACTTGAACCACTTCTTATAATTCTGTCAAGACATATTTTCTTAGATTAATAGCTTTACCAATTTTATTATTAATATGCAAATATTTAAGATTATAGGAATTATTTTTTTAGAAGAAAACTCATCTATCTATTTAAATAAAATTTAAAAATTGATTTATACTAAAATAACATACATAAAGTTGATTTACTAATTTGTTTAGTCTCTATATTTTAAAACCTTGAAGAAAAAATTAGGATAGAGATATAAACTACACAATTATAACAATTTATAAAAGATATTTATACTATACATAAATAAATAAATACTATAATATTTATTTCTAGTTTTGTAAAAAAAAAAAGCTACATTCTACAAAAAAAAAGCAACGTAAAAAAGAAAGAAAGAGAGAGAATAAGACACTCACCTTTTTTGTAATGTGATATAATGTGTGAAGTACAAAAGAGTGTGTTTGTGTTTTTATAGAAGAATGATACTAATATTTATTTTGATTTTCGTTTTTTGTTTATTAAAAATTGATGATCTGCTGTTGGACCACTTCAATTGACGTATGGAAGAGAATTCTCTAATTTGACCTGCTTTTATCACTAGAAGACAAAAAAAATTTCTCTACATGCAGACAGCCCACTTTTCTATTTTTTTCTCTGATTGGTAAATTAAATGCAGTTCCCCTGTCCCACACGTTGGACTGCTAAATTTCTGTCCTAACAATTAAAGCCTCAATAGGTAAAAACAACAAACAAAATACCGGAGATCTTCTCAGAGGGAGTTGTGAATCCAGCAGCTGACTTTTCTTGACAAGAGACTTTGAACCTGTAGCTGTGGACTTCTCAGCTAGAGCTTTTGAAACTGTTGCAACGGATTTTGTACCTTTTGTTGTAGATATCTCAAGGGATGGCTTATAACCTGCTGCTGCAGTTTGTGAACCTGATCCTGCTGCTTTCCCTGATGCTGCTGTAGTTTGTGAACCTGTTGCTGCTGCTTTCCCTGATGCTGCTGCTTTCCCTGATGCTGCTGCTTTCTCTGATGCTGCTGATTTTCCTACTGATGCTGCTGCTTCCAATGGTGATTTTCCTCTTGCAGCAGAAGTCTGAAGTGGAGATTTCTGACATGTTGCATCTGTAGGGTTTTCAAAGATCACTTTGTGGACAGGCCATGCTACATAAGACATTAAACAGTCCTCAAAGTATGTCACATCCATCGTTGGCCTCCATATAAAAGTCTCTGGTTGAAGAACTGCATCGACAAATATCTTTACTGCTGCTGGCCCGAGAGGAAGCCCATTGACTAATGCGTTTTGTTCTTGTGTCTGCCAACGTCCTTCTGCAACAACAACCTCATCTGAAGACAAATCCAGTAGTTTGCATTTGTTCACAGAGTTAGGTCTTGGTCCCTGTCAAAAACATTGAAACCCAAAAATACATTGTGTTAATAGAAGATCATTATTCTATATATGAGTATGAGAATGAATAATAAACTTTACCTGGGCTTCAATGTCTTCTTGTTGGAGATCCTCTTCTAGGTTAACACACATAGCAGCAGGCCATGCAATCATATGTCCAACAGCTTTCTCAATGGTGAACATGTTAGCCGCAGGTCTCCAAAGGAATGCTTCTGGTTCAATAGCAGTGTCAATCAAGACTTTAACATCCGTAGGGCCTAAGGGACAGTCATTAACTAATTCACCCGGATCAGAAGAAATAATACATCCCTCAGCAACTTTTACATCAGAACCAGCCCAATCAAGTAAGACACATTTTGGTTGTGATTTTTTGTTCACACTCTGTAAAAACAATAGGTAGACAAAATATCAGGTGATTGTATCTGTTAGAATAAATCAAAGCATCTGATATGAGTGACTTACTCTTGCAGCTGAGCTTTCACCTACTTCAGGTGATTGTCTCTGTTACAAAAAAAAAAAAAAAGAAGTCAAATGTTATATATATAAAGCTGCTTTATATAAATAGATATAAATAGTTAAGTGCACTAACCCGGTTCTTCATCTTCTGGAGATGAAGCTGATTCTCTTGCATTTCAGCCATACACTTGTGCTTCACTTGGAAACAAGCTAACTTGGTCTTATTCATATTGCGACCCATTGCTCTCATTCTACCAGGATTGTCAGGCCCTAACAGTTGGCTTAGTGAATCTTGTGCTTCATTTGTTGCATGTGATGGATTATCACTGTTAACAATCTCCTCTGCCTTTTTCTGAAACTCATAAGATACATATTAAAATATCAAGTGTGATTCAAATGCCAAAATGCAAATCATTAGAAGCAAAATAACTCACAATCTTTTCAGCAGCATTCGTATTCACTGGTGTACCATCTTTCTTAGTACGTGACTTAACCCAAACCTTTAGGCGTGTCACTTCAGATGGGTCTGCACTAGCAGTTTTCTAAACAAAAAGAAAAGAAACAAAAGATTACACAAGTGTTTGGACTTTGGGAAAAGGCTGAGCAATATGAACAATATAAGTGTAGCAATATATATTACCATATCTTCTGCTAGTCTAACCATTCCCCTGCGACTACAAGTGTGTGGAATCTGATTGCGCCTTCTTTCCTTGTAGCTATTGCTTACAACCTAACAGATGAATGTTAATTTCTAAGGAAAGATAAGTGAACCTACTCATAATAGATAAATTTACAAATTCCAAATGCATACCTTAAATTCTTTGCTAGTTTTGAGCTTCACAAATTTACGCCAATCAAATGGAGAAATATTTTTAGGTCGCATGTTCATCCTCTCTTGGTTAGTCTTAGCTTCTCTAATGTTTGTAACTTGCCTTGATTTCCAGGACCTCCACAAGCATCCCATCTGCTTAAGCACTGTAACCTTTTGGTACTCTTCATCTAGTTCAAACCTTGCCTGCACTCAAAAACAAAACAGCTAAGTACTCACACCAATATATAATAAACTTGTAAATTTTACACAAATCTTACCTGGACAGATTTCCAGAGAACTGTCCTGACTTCTTCACCTATTTTTGTCCAACGATCAATTGTGATTGGAACGTGTTCTCTTACCAATGCGCCTACATATGATGCTAGTTTAACTGAGCCTTTACCAATAGGCTCTCCCATGTTAGTGAACTCTACTCTTACTCTGGTATTTGGATCCTTGGCAATATCCTTCAGCCTAGTTGGTCCTCGATGTCTCTTACGCTTTGGATCAGCACAATCATAATCCTCAGATAATACAAGCTCTCCTTCAGCCTCTTCCACTTGATTTGGATCTGCTACTTGAACTTCAGCCTCTTCCACTTGATCTGGATCTGCTACTTGAACTTCAGCCTCTTCCACTTGATCTGGATCTGCTACTTGAACTTCAGCTGGTGCTACATGTTCGACCTCATCATTGACTTGTGGTTCAACTGTACCCATATACTCGACGTCCTCATTGGCATGCTTTGCTTCCTTTTTTTTTGTTACTTCTGCATCGCTTTTTCTTCTGTTGTCCCATTTTAAATCACCTGAGAAAAGTGAAAGAAGAAAGAGTTAAGTATATACTGAAAATAAGACATCAAACACACTATGGAAATCAGACATCAGACATAGAGCAGGCAACAAAGAATGAAAATGATAAAAAAAAACTACATTTCACAAACATATATCCCTTCACAATCAGATCTCTCATTCTCAGCTTCATCCAAGTCAACGTCGATGTCAATATTTGGTGGCAATGTGCCAATGTCTGCAACTGAATCTAGAAACTCTTTCTGACTGAATCTTCTTGAAGGACCTCTCAATGCAACATACCAAGGTGATGAGTCATCTTCCCTTAGGTAAAACACTTGTTTTGCTTGAGAGGCTAGTATATACGGATCCCTTAAAAATGAGACTTGACTATGATTCAGGTTTACAAGTGTAAAACCATCTTCTTGCTTCACTCCATTGCCTTTTACTGCCCAGTTACAGCGGAATAATGGAACGTAAAATACATTATAATCCAGCAAGATAATGTCAGTTATGCAGCCATAGTATGATACCAAATCCACCACTTGGGAAGTGTCTTTTGTACTGGACCTACAGATTGCAGTTGCCTCGTAGAAAACACCACTATTCTGAGTTTTTTTATCCACTGATCTTGTATGAAATCGTTGCCCATTCACTATATAACCAGTATATGTCCTTGCACAACTACGTGGACCATAAGCTAACCATTTAAGTGTTTCTTCGTGTCTGTTTGAATCAAGAGGTATCTAACAAATTAAAAAAGAAAATGTCAGACATCTATATGTTTATTGATAAAGTATAGTGTTCAAGTGAGAGATAAACAGGCCTGTTTTTTAAGCCATGATGCAAAATTCTGAGTGTGCATACTCCATAACAGTGATGCATCACGTCTACATCTTCCATTTGAGTCTTGAAGATGTTGCAGGTGCTCACTAATAAAAGGAAAATAAGAAGTAGTCAGCCACACAATTTACATATAGCTAAGTAAAATGAACAAGCAGACTGGAACTTACTCCACATAAGATTCGGAGACAGCCATATTCTGGATGACAGCCATATGGGCTATTTTTGTCTCCATTTCAGTAAGATTAATATAAGAGCATGCAGAGATTGGACGCCCCTCAAGTATAGAGTTGTTCTCATACTCAGTGTTTCTATAAACACTTTCCTGAACATTTGTTGCCTTCTTCAAAAATTCACTACAAAACTGTATGCATTCTTCAGCTAGATAACACTCAGCTATACACCCTTCTGGTCTTGCAGTGTTTCTCACAAAATCCTTCAGAACTTTCATATATCTTTCAAACGGATACATCCATCTGAAATGAACTGGTCCACCTAACCGAGCTTCTCTGCCTAAATGTACTGTCAAATGCACCATTATATCAAAGAAACTTGGTGGGAAAAACCTTTCAAACAGGCAAAGGGTTTCAACAATCTCAGCTTCTAGTGCCAAAAGCTTCTCCATATCAATTACTCGCTGACACAAGTGGTTGAAGAATGTGCATAAGCGCACAATTGCTACCCTAGGACCTTTAGGTAGCAACCCTCTAAGAGCAATAGGCAGAAGTTGTTGCATTAAGACGTGATAATCGTGTGATTTAAGACCAGAGACCTTACACTCATCTAATGAGACGCCTCTTGATATGTCTAAGCAGTACCCATCTGGACCTTTGAAGTCATAAAGCCGCTTACAAAAGATCTTCTTCTCTGTCTTTGATAGGGACCAAGAAGCTGCAGGAAGGTATGTTCTTTTTCCTTTGGTTTTAGGATGCAAATCCTTTCTAATACCAAGCACCTCCAAATCTTTTCGAGCATTTAGTCCATCTTTGGATTTCCCACAATGCAACAATGTCGATATAATACTTGCAGCCACATTTCTCTCCACATGCATGACATCTAAGTTGTGTCTCACAGGAAGGTCCTATACAACCACCACAGACGCAAGAAGCAAAAAAAATATTAGTCAATGATTTATTGCTGAAATCTGAGATAACACTAGAATAACAAGAATGTAGAACACACCTGCCAATAAGCTAACTTGAAAAAAATTGACCTTTTCTTCCATCTTGATAATTCCTCCTCATCTACTTGTTCCTCTTCATCCTCCTCTGATTCACTAGACTCACCATCACTATCAGAGCCTGCTTCAACACAAACCGTCCTTTTCCTTTTACTTGCAGATTGTTTCAAAGTCCCAAAGTTATTCTTAAAATTTTTCAGGTTTTGGTAAATTTCCTGACCACTTAATATTCTCCTCTTCCTGCCATTTTCAGCTTTTCCATCAAACCAAGACTTCTTCATTCTGAAATGATGTGTTGGTGGCAGCCGCATCCTGTGGCACATGTAGACATGTTTTCTGCTGAACTTCAACCACATGCTATCGGTATTTTTCCCACATAGAGGACATCCCATTTTTCCCTTTACTTTGCAGCCAGCTAGATTCCCGTAAGCAGGGAAATCACTAATCGTCCAAAGCAACATTGCCTTAAGAGTAAATGTTTATTTACTGAAAGCGACATATGTCAACTCCCCATTGTCCCACAGGTGGCATAGATCCTCTATAAGTGGTTCTAGGTATACGTCAATGTTATTACCAGGCTGTTGTGGACCAGGAATTAGCAAAGTCAACATGATGTTCTCCTTCTTCATGCATAAATTAGGAGGCAGATTGTAGTTAACCAACAAAACGGGCCAGCAACTATATCTAGTGTTCTTCATGTTGAATGGATTAAATCCATCTGTTGAAAGTCCAAGCCTCAGGTTTCTTTCCTCAGCTGCAAATGACGGGTATTTGGCATTCATCTGATCCCATGTTACTGAATCTACAGGGTGACGGAGTTTTCCATCGCTGCTTTTGTTGCTAAAATGCCACCTTAAATCCTTAGCCATTTCCTCAGACCTAAACATTCTCTTAAGGCGTGGGATTATCGGAAAGTACCTTAATACTTTCTGTGGGACACCTTTCTTTATTTCACCAGTGTGCAAGTTAGTTTTCCATCTTGAAGCGCTGCATTTAGGACAATTGTCGAGCTTCTTGTAATTCTTTCTGAATAGGCAGCAGTCATTAACACATGCATGGATCTTCTCGTAACCCATATCAAAGGATTTCAAAAATTTATTCACCTCGTATAGTGATGTGTGCAGCACATTATCCGCTGGTAACATCTTCGGAAGTGTCTCTAGGAGTTCATTGAAGCTCTTGTCAGACCAGCCATTCTTTGTCTTAAGTCTGAAAAGTGTTACAATAGCCGACAACTTGCTATGGTTGAGACAACTTGGATATAGTGGTGTTTCAGCATCTGCAAGCTTCGCAAGGAACTCATCTTCTTCTTTGTCCAAACCCTCTGCAATCTCAACTTTGGAAGCAAACTCTTCATCCAAATATTCAGCTGCTTCATATAACCCAACAATTTCATCATTCCACTGATTTTGATTGCTTTCACCTCCAACCACTGGATTCAATTCTCCATGATGATACCAATCAGACCGCATCTTGTAAGGCTCGTCCATTCCCCTTGTTACAAGATGATTAACTACAACACTGGCTGAGTGACGATCTATATTACGACAATCAATGCAAGGACATACAATCATATCAACGTCTCCCATTGCCGCAGCCACAGTCCGTACAAAGTTTGCAGCCCCTCTCTCATAAGCAGGATCAACTCTTCATATAAGATGAAGAGTTAAAAGAGAAAAAAGAAGAAAAAAAAACAAGCAAAGTCTCCAAATTCCCTAATCTAATATATAAAAAAAATCTTACCTGCAAAGGTGCACCCAACCCTTGTCCATCATTTTATAATGCAACCGTAATTAAAACCTTTATTGATATAGGAACTTATTCAGATTTAATTAAAGAGTCTACACACATCACACAGTAATATTCAGACTAATTAACAAATAAATCAAACTCAGATTTTAACTAAATCAAACTCAAATCAGATCAAAGCATATGTGATAAAAGAACTAAGTCAGATTTAATGAAATAGTCTAAACACATCACAGAACCACTTACTTTTCAGACTAATTAACAAATTAAGCAAACTCAAATTTTAACTCAATGTAAACAATATATATAACTCAATCTCAGACAAGATCAAAGCATATGTGATATAAAAACTTATTCAGATTTAATGAAAGAGTCTTCCCACATCACAGGATCACTTAATATTCAGACTAATTAATAAATCAAACACAAATTTTATGCAGATAAACTAATCTCAGACCATATCAAAGCATATGTCAAACACATATAACCATATTTAAAACGATTAATCAAAGTAAAATATCTATTACCAATCACATAGCAAACACAGTAATGTACAAGACAAAGGAAAAGATGGTCTAACCTGTCGTGTAATAAGAGCCAAAGATAACCTTCAGATTCCCATTACTTCAAACAGCAACACTTGCAAAACAAAATGAGAGAATGAGTATATCTAGTTCCATGTGTTTGGTAATGCAAGAATGTGTTAGAAAAGCACTTAAAAGATCTAAAGAATCAGATAACAGATCAATACAAAAAGTCAGAACTTACAAGACCAACCAATTGTATCCGACAATAAGAACAAGTCAATACAAATAGTTTTAATAGAATGTCAACAAAAACTTCTAAATCTCGAGAATAGGTCAATACAAGTTATCTAAAAATCTAAGATTTCCGAAAGCAAAATTGTGCATCCTATTTATCAAGCTACGCCTAAATCAAACCACACAAACAAATAGTTCTAATTAAGCAAAGAACACGGACATGCAAAAGACAAAAACTTTGAAGAATCGAATCAGAGAAACCCTTAAATCCAGACTTTAAGAAACAAAACAGTTGTCGAGCTTCACGACAGCTAAAAGAAATCTAGCTAGGTTAACGAAAGGGAAGAAATAAATCTACAGATTCAGAGAGACATGCCTTCGATTTGGGACTCAGAGAGATGGTTTAATCGGAGAATTAGGGCCGAAATCAGGTTTTCTGTCGCGGCTACAGCTTTGACGGCGGCTAACTTCAACGACGGCGGTGGCGAGTTCAATCGGTGGCTCCAGGAATCGATTCGTCGGTTTGAGAGAGTGTGGTTAAGCCTTAGGGTTTTCTCGAGCAAAGAGGGAAAAAATTAGTCTGTTCGCAAAAAGAAAAAATATTCTTTAAGTGTTTCGCGGTATGAGTCATTTTAGTTTCCCGGGCTAGAGGAATTCTATCTTAGCGTTAAAACCTTGCTATATTATTAAATTTATTTATTAGCATTTATAAAACGCTATCATACGAAAACAAAATTTGTAAATAATCTTCAATAGCAGTTGAGTAATCCGTGCTATTACGTTATGCTATCAATGAACAAATTTCTTGTAGTGATTTTGCGATACACTTTAGCTATCTATTTTATAATAATAAATTGAATTTTAATTCTATACGCTCTATCTTATTGATGGTATTTGAATTCTAAATAGTAACCTACATATTATTTTTATATTTTATTTAGTATTTTTAAAAACCAAATTTCAATCTTACACTTTTCATTTTGCAATACAAGACAACTATCTATTTCATCATAATAAAGTGGATTTTGATTTCTACACACTTCATCTTAATGGATATGCATTAAGTTTTTTATATCAAAATAATATGTATTTTACCTCAGGTCAAACTAATTTTAAATGACTAAAATTAATTAATAAAAATGAAAAAAAAATATACTAACATTTCATCAAGGAATTGAAATTAATTCCTATAAGCAATTTTTCCAATTGTTTTTGTGTTTTTACTAGGGGTGTCAAAATGGTTAACCCAACACAACTCAACTCATTACCCAATGAGTTTGAAGTTAAATGAGTTCATGGGTTGACCCATTAATGTAATAAATAAATTAATAATTAAAATAAATTAACAATAAAAAGAAAATAATAATAATAATAATAATAATCACGAATTTACGTTTTTGGCAGGAAAATCACAGATTTATGTTTTTTGCTGGAAAATCACAGATTTACGTTTTTTGGCGGGAAAATAACGGATTTACGTTTTTGGCAGGAAATCACGAATTTACGTTTTTGGCGGGAAAATCATGGATTTACATTTTTGGCGGGAAAATCACGGATTTACGTTTTTGGCGGGAAAATCACGGATTTACGTTTTTGGCGGGAAAATCACGGATTTACGTTTTTGGCGGGAAAATCACAGATTTATGTTTTTGGCGGGAAAATTATCCATCCTCATTTTTGGTTAAAAATTGTAAAAAATTTTGGCGGGAAAATTATGGATTTACGTTTTTGGCGGGAAAATCACGAATTTTTGGTGAAAACTTTTCATCTATGAGTATATGGTTTTTTTTTTTTTGGATAAAACGTAAGTATAACTATACTAATATTTTTATGAATTTTAAAAAAAAAAACTTAATACATGCCAAATTTAATTGACCAATAACACAAGTAAAAAGAAAATTTTTAGTTTTCTTTTTTTTTGGTTAAGAAAAATAAAAGTTAAAAAGTTTTAGATATAGACATATAAATTAGTATTTGTAAATATGTTTTGTTTTTAGTTTTCCTATTTCTTTAAGGTAAAAAAAGTTAAATTTTTCTGACACTTGTCACGATCACGTGAGTTAGCAATTTTGAAAATCCTACTTTATATAATAAGATATTGATATATGCTTTTTGCTTTTCTGGATTGTCTTTTAAAAAATAATTAAGAATAACTGAAATAATACATAATTGTACACATAAAGAATATACTAAATTAAAGATTATAGATAAGAAATACCCAGATGCCTCCTCATTGTAACATCATGAATAATATTATAATCATTAGAAGAAAAGGGTCAACATCAATGAAAAAACAAAATATATAAACATGTATATCTTATAACCAACTTGATCAACATCTATTTTTGCTTTAAACTCTATTTTAGAATAAATCTACTCCAACTCACCTCTATTTTCACATTTAAAATAGAGAAATTATATTATTTTCTCTGTAATAGAGTTAAACTTTTTTATTTGCAAAATGGTACTTAACTTTTAACTTTTTTTTATTTATGGCTAAAATAAATAAAATTAATATTTTGGGTTGAATTTTTGATATAAATATCTATTCTAAAATTTCGACTACTATATGCAAAAAAGAATTATATAAAGTCTTATAAATATATACATTATTGGTTTTTATGAAAATCTAGTAAAGGTTAAAGTAAATGGGTAAATTTGCAACTTTTATAAATATAAGTATATTAGAGGAAAACATTAGAGTAAAAAATATAAGTATATTAGAGGAAATTTTTTTCCTCTATTTACTCTAATGTTTTCCTCTATGAATCTATTTAAAATATTAGAGGAAAAAATAGAGGAAAACATTAGAGTAAAAACTCTTTCTATTGCAATATTTTTTTTATTTAAAAACAAAATTAGAGAAATGCATTGGAAATGGTCTAACAAATCGTCCATGTCTCCATTGAGTATACTTTTGTTTTTCTCTTTGATTTTTGTCAATGCGTTTCGACTCTCTTCCTCTATATGTAAACACAAACCAAGTGTCAAAGAAAAAAAGAAAAATTATAGAGAGGAAAAACTCTAAAACAGACGATAAGTGGAAAAAAACCACCAATTCCAGTATTTCACCATCTACAATTTGTGTTTCACGATTGTGAAGGACTGAAGGGAGGGATATTTGTTAGAGAACTAGAGAAAATTAGGCTTCAGCTGATCAAAATCTTAACAAAGTATCCATATATTCTTATATATTAACTGTATATCTTAAATGCATCTTTAAATCAGAGATTCTAAAACTAATACTCCCTCTATTTCGTTTTAGTTGTCGTTTAAAATTTTTTCACACAAATTAAGAAAGCATTAAATTTTCTGTTTTACTCTTTATTAATATATTTTATGAAAAATTTCATTGGCCAAAACATTAAAACAGTAGGGATAAAACTGGAATTTTCACCAAACATTTGCATTGAAAACCTAAAACGACAACTATTATGAAACAAAATTTAAATCCTAAAACGACAACTAAACTGAAACGGAGGGAGTACTAAGTTAACGACCCTCAAAACTAAAGACAGATGAAGGGGTTACAAATTTTGGTGAACGTCAAAAATGACTCTTAATTCATTCTTCTATTGTTTGTTCTATGTAATTTCGATTCAAAGGGAGTCAGAGGATCTGTTCAAAGCTAAACCAGTATTGTTACCCTAACTCTTTGTATCAAAAATGTTTTGATTTTCAACATATAATGTCCACGACTGGACCCAAGACATTTTTTTGGCGATCTAATCATTCTTTTGTTCCCAAATCTCTTTTTGTAAAATTGGAGAAAGATTGCAAATGTTTTACAAATACAGGAGGGGAAACACTCTAATAATGACAACGTAACAAGGTCTAGTTTTTGGGTGTGCAAGAAAGAAACTACTTGTCTCCGCCACCGAACATTCCCATCATGTCCTTGCCGGAACCCATCTGCTTCATGAGACTCTGCAGACCGCCCATGCCACCAATCTGCTTGAGCATCTGCGGCGGTAGGACCTTGCTCATGTGCTGTGCGTTCATGTTTCTCGAGAGTGCACTCATATCTCCATTCTTTGGGATCTTGAGCCCTTTCATCTTGCTCCATATCTTTGCTAGCAGCCTCTTGTACTCTTCCAACATCTCCATCACTTCTCTTACTTGCCTCCCTGACCCTCTTGCTATCCGCATCATCCGTGACTCGTTAAACACCTTTGGGTTTGAGCTGTCCAGTTCTGCACAAACCACAAACCACCCATCACTTTTTTGCCACTACTCTGATTATTTCTACTGATACACTTTCTCCAAATAAGATATATTATTGTTCTTACCATCATTTGTCATAGAATCCATCATTGTCATGTACCGCTTTATCTTCGCCTGGCTTTCTTTCTCATGTCCTTTTGGCATCATTTCAGCACTAATTCCAGGCAGCATCGAGAAAACCTACACACACACCAACACCTCACACGTTTTATCATCAAGTCCCTTGAGCTGTTCAAGCCTAATAATATTTGAAAAGAGATTCTAACCTCCTTAAGTGGACCCATGTTCAGTATATTCTGGAACAGGTCGTACATAATTCTCAATGTAAAGTTACCCTGAGAGAGCTTTTCCAGAAGTTCAGGCTGTTGATCTTTAGGTACTACCTCTTGTAGCTTATCAACAAATCCAGACCAGTCACCCATTCCTATTGTACATTACATTATCAAGATTCTGACTCAACAACCCATGAAAAGCCTTTCATTACTCAACAATGCCATGAAAGTTACCTAAGAGACGGCTAACAAATGGTTTGACGTCAAACACTTCAAACTCATCCATATGCTCTCCTGTTCCGATAAATATCACAGGACTTTTCGTAGCTGCAACACTAACAAAATGACAATGGATCAAATTCACTTTTCCAACTGAAAAAAGCCTACAAGAATTTATATTGACCATTTCAAGTACATAGGACGATTTAGTAGCTACAAGATACTTACGCGCTAAGAGCACCACCACCCTTGGCATGGCCGTCCATCTTAGTAATAATTACAGCTCCAACAGCAACACTTTGCTTAAAGGCTTGAGCTTGATCAAATGCAGCTTGACCAATACTGCTATCCATAACAAATATAACAAGATCTGGTTTCTGTAAAGTGAAAAGACCATGATCAGAGTCTGCAACATCAACCAGGAACAAATAGAAGACTTCAAGGCAACAGAGCATACCGTTGCTTCAGCAACTTGACGCATTTCTTCAAAGAGAGTAGCTTCTTGTTTATGGCGACCACTAGTATCAACAATAATGAGATCACAGTTTTCTTTCTTAAACGTATCAACTCCCTCAACAGCAATTTTCACAGGATCGGATTCCGTGTAGCTGCAAGAATCACAACTCAGTATTAGCGCATTCTGCTACCACAGTACGCCCTAGAGAATGGTTATAAATGTTAATCCAGAATGTCTTCTTTTTTCATTTCTTTGTGTTACTGTCATTGAAGTAAATCCAAATGACCAAATCTACAAATAGCATAGTAGTAATAATTGCAAATAGAAAGAGAAGAGACCACAAGACCTCAAAAGATCCATTTATGCATACTGTTGAACTTTTTGACAAAGATGCAAATTTTTTGACAGAGTGGCACTGTGTAATGAGTTCCGAAAAAAGAGTCCAAGAAAAAACAGGCAAAGGGCTTAAAGTAGTAACCCCTAGAGGTAAGTGGCATGCAGAGAACTAGAGAAGTATGACAAAACCTATTGGATAATGGGTTAAAGAAACATATTAAGAAACAGCAGTCCTTTTGAGTCCAGATTTTTGCAGCTACTGACCTAAACAAAACCTATTTCATAAATTTTGTGCCTTGTGTCTACCGTTTCAAAGAAAATTCCATCATTTTTCACAGACACTCCTAAAAGTGAGCTAATAATATCATTTGGAAATGCCACCAAGAAGAAAACTGATAGTAAGATATAATATTAATACTATATCGCAAAGAGGTTGACTTGAGTACCTTCCATAAAAGGGGATCTTAGCCTTGGTAGCATTCTGTTTCAGCTGATCGAAAGCACCGGCCCTGAAAGTATCCGCACAAACTAGGGCTGGTTTGTATCCTTTCTTCTGATGATAATAAGCATACTTAGTACAAGTTGTCGTCTTTCCAGCACCTAAAAACACAATCACAAAAAAATTGACATTACATCAAAAACAAACCCAATTTGGACATAAAGAATAAACATCGTCTAACAAAGACCTCACCTTGTAATCCAACAAACATAACTACACTAGCTTTAGCCTTTTTAGGAGCAAACGCAGGCTTTCCTGGATCCAACATCTTACAAAGTTCACTAAAGATAGCCTGAGAGAAACAATACAAGAATCACAAACAAACCCAATTACATCGAATTCCAAAAATCGATACTTTGGGAAAAAAAAAAAAAAATGAAACCTGTTCAATGATCCGGCGTTTGTTGTGACCAGCTGCTAGATCTTCAAGATTGACGATCTTCTTGATATTACTCTGCATCTCCTTCACAAGAGGAAACGAAACATCGGATTGAAGCAGAGCACGAGTGATCTCGTTCAAACATTCATTCAAAGCCTTCTCATCGATAATTGTCACATTGCTCATCTGCTGTATCGCGCGGGTAATCCGCCCGCCTAGCTCCGCCAACACCATTTTCGCTGCTTTGCGAATTCAACAAAAGCTTGTTCGGAGGAGAAGAATCAGATTTGGGGGAATTTAGAGCTAGGGTTTTGATCTAAGAGATATCTTTGGTCGCGATTGAGACAACGGAGAGAAGTTGAAAACTTGATCCGAGGATATTAATTTCTAATTCCTCCTATGTCCATTAACCGGTACCGGTTAGGAGACGAAGCAAATCTAAATTTATGGGCCTTACGAAGCTCACAATAGGCCCAATGGGTCAGGTGGTCTATAGATATTAAACAATGCATCCAACTTTTTCTATATTTCCGATTTCGAAAACGAAAAAAATTGTGGAGGAATAGTCCATTTCGTATAATCCAAAATTCCAAATGTAGAAAATCTATCCATATATACATTTTTTGATCACAATTAGCAAATAAATCCTGAAGTTGAGAAGTATTTACAATGACATGCCATTAGCATTAATTATTTAGATTTGTTTTATTTAAGTAAAGATTTTTAATTGAAATTCATTTCTCATATATTTAGCAAAAGTCTCTACAAAATCTTTCCTTATCTATTTAAGTAAACACAAACCAAGTGTCAAAGAAAAAAAGAAAAATCATAGAGAGGAAAAACTCTAAAACAGACGATAAGTGGAAAAAAACCACCAATTCCAGTATTTCACCATCTACAATTTGTGTTTCACGATTGTGAAGGACTGAAGGGAGGGATATTTGTTAGAGAACTAGAGAAAATTAGGCTTCAGCTGATCAAAATCTTAACAAAGTATCCATATATTCTTATATATTAACTGTATATCTTAAATGCATCTTTAAATCAGAGATTCTAAAACTAATACTCCCTCTATTTCGTTTTAGTTGTCGTTTAAAGTTTTTTCACACAAATTAAGAAAACATTAAATTTGCTGTTTTACTCTTTATTAATATATTTTATGAAAAATTTCATTGGCCAAAACATTAAAACAGTAGGGATAAAACTGGAATTTTCACCAAACATTTGCATTGAAAACCTAAAACGACAACTATTATGAAACAAAATTTAAATCCTAAAACGACAACTAAACTGAAACGGAGGGAGTACTAAGTTAACGACCCTCAAAACTAAAGACAGATGAAGGGGTTACAAATTTTGGTGAACGTCAAAAATGACTCTTAATTCATTCTTCTATTGTTTGTTCTATGTAATTTCGATTCAAAGGGAGTCAGAGGATCTGTTCAAAGCTAAACCAGTATTGTTACCCTAACTCTTTGTATCAAAAATGTTTTGATTTTCAACATATAATGTCCACGACTGGACCCAAGACATTTTTTTGGCGATCTAATCATTCTTTTGTTCCCAAATCTCTTTTTGTAAAATTGGAGAAAGATTGCAAATGTTTTACAAATACAGGAGGGGAAACACTCTAATAATGACAACGTAACAAGGTCTAGTTTTTGGGTGTGCAAGAAAGAAACTACTTGTCTCCGCCACCGAACATTCCCATCATGTCCTTGCCGGAACCCATCTGCTTCATGAGACTCTGCAGACCGCCCATGCCACCAATCTGCTTGAGCATCTGCGGCGGTAGGACCTTGCTCATGTGCTGTGCGTTCATGTTTCTCGAGAGTGCACTCATATCTCCATTCTTTGGGATCTTGAGCCCTTTCATCTTGCTCCATATCTTTGCTAGCAGCCTCTTGTACTCTTCCAACATCTCCATCACTTCTCTTACTTGCCTCCCTGACCCTCTTGCTATCCGCATCATCCGTGACTCGTTAAACACCTTTGGGTTTGAGCTGTCCAGTTCTGCACAAACCACAAACCACCCATCACTTTTTTGCCACTACTCTGATTATTTCTACTGATACACTTTCTCCAAATAAGATATATTATTGTTCTTACCATCATTTGTCATAGAATCCATCATTGTCATGTACCGCTTTATCTTCGCCTGGCTTTCTTTCTCATGTCCTTTTGGCATCATTTCAGCACTAATTCCAGGCAGCATCGAGAAAACCTACACACACACCAACACCTCACACGTTTTATCATCAAGTCCCTTGAGCTGTTCAAGCCTAATAATATTTGAAAAGAGATTCTAACCTCCTTAAGTGGACCCATGTTCAGTATATTCTGGAACAGGTCGTACATAATTCTCAATGTAAAGTTACCCTGAGAGAGCTTTTCCAGAAGTTCAGGCTGTTGATCTTTAGGTACTACCTCTTGTAGCTTATCAACAAATCCAGACCAGTCACCCATTCCTATTGTACATTACATTATCAAGATTCTGACTCAACAACCCATGAAAAGCCTTTCATTACTCAACAATGCCATGAAAGTTACCTAAGAGACGGCTAACAAATGGTTTGACGTCAAACACTTCAAACTCATCCATATGCTCTCCTGTTCCGATAAATATCACAGGACTTTTCGTAGCTGCAACACTAACAAAATGACAATGGATCAAATTCACTTTTCCAACTGAAAAAAGCCTACAAGAATTTATATTGACCATTTCAAGTACATAGGACGATTTAGTAGCTACAAGATACTTACGCGCTAAGAGCACCACCACCCTTGGCATGGCCGTCCATCTTAGTAATAATTACAGCTCCAACAGCAACACTTTGCTTAAAGGCTTGAGCTTGATCAAATGCAGCTTGACCAATACTGCTATCCATAACAAATATAACAAGATCTGGTTTCTGTAAAGTGAAAAGACCATGATCAGAGTCTGCAACATCAACCAGGAACAAATAGAAGACTTCAAGGCAACAGAGCATACCGTTGCTTCAGCAACTTGACGCATTTCTTCAAAGAGAGTAGCTTCTTGTTTATGGCGACCACTAGTATCAACAATAATGAGATCACAGTTTTCTTTCTTAAACGTATCAACTCCCTCAACAGCAATTTTCACAGGATCGGATTCCGTGTAGCTGCAAGAATCACAACTCAGTATTAGCGCATTCTGCTACCACAGTACGCCCTAGAGAATGGTTATAAATGTTAATCCAGAATGTCTTCTTTTTTCATTTCTTTGTGTTACTGTCATTGAAGTAAATCCAAATGACCAAATCTACAAATAGCATAGTAGTAATAATTGCAAATAGAAAGAGAAGAGACCACAAGACCTCAAAAGATCCATTTATGCATACTGTTGAACTTTTTGACAAAGATGCAAATTTTTTGACAGAGTGGCACTGTGTAATGAGTTCCGAAAAAAGAGTCCAAGAAAAAACAGGCAAAGGGCTTAAAGTAGTAACCCCTAGAGGTAAGTGGCATGCAGAGAACTAGAGAAGTATGACAAAACCTATTGGATAATGGGTTAAAGAAACATATTAAGAAACAGCAGTCCTTTTGAGTCCAGATTTTTGCAGCTACTGACCTAAACAAAACCTATTTCATAAATTTTGTGCCTTGTGTCTACCGTTTCAAAGAAAATTCCATCATTTTTCACAGACACTCCTAAAAGTGAGCTAATAATATCATTTGGAAATGCCACCAAGAAGGAAACTGATAGTAAGATATAATATTAATACTATATCGCAAAGAGGTTGACTTGAGTACCTTCCATAAAAGGGGATCTTAGCCTTGGTAGCATTCTGTTTCAGCTGATCGAAAGCACCGGCCCTGAAAGTATCCGCACAAACTAGGGCTGGTTTGTATCCTTTCTTCTGATGATAATAAGCATACTTAGTACAAGTTGTCGTCTTTCCAGCACCTAAAAACACAATCACAAAAAAATTGACATTACATCAAAAACAAACCCAATTTGGACATAAAGAATAAACATCGTCTAACAAAGACCTCACCTTGTAATCCAACAAACATAACTACACTAGCTTTAGCCTTTTTAGGAGCAAACGCAGGCTTTCCTGGATCCAACATCTTACAAAGTTCACTAAAGATAGCCTGAGAGAAACAATACAAGAATCACAAACAAACCCAATTACATCGAATTCCAAAAATCGATACTTTGGGAAAAAAAAAAAAAATGAAACCTGTTCAATGATCCGGCGTTTGTTGTGACCAGCTGCTAGATCTTCAAGATTGACGATCTTCTTGATATTACTCTGCATCTCCTTCACAAGAGGAAACGAAACATCGGATTGAAGCAGAGCACGAGTGATCTCGTTCAAACATTCATTCAAAGCCTTCTCATCGATAATTGTCACATTGCTCATCTGCTGTATCGCGCGGGTAATCCGCCCGCCTAGCTCCGCCAACACCATTTTCGCTGCTTTGCGAATTCAACAAAAGCTTGTTCGGAGGAGAAGAATCAGATTTGGGGGAATTTAGAGCTAGGGTTTTGATCTAAGAGATATCTTTGGTCGCGATTGAGACAACGGAGAGAAGTTGAAAACTTGATCCGAGGATATTAATTTCTAATTCCTCCTATGTCCATTAACCGGTACCGGTTAGGAGACGAAGCAAATCTAAATTTATGGGCCTTACGAAGCTCACAATAGGCCCAATGGGTCAGGTGGTCTATAGATATTAAACAATGCATCCAACTTTTTCTATATTTCCGATTTCGAAAACGAAAAAATTGTGGAGGAATAGTCCATTTCGTATAATCCAAAATTCCAAATGTAGAAAATCTATCCATATATACATTTTTTGATCACAATTAGCAAATAAATCCTGAAGTTGAGAAGTATTTACAATGACATGCCATTAGCATTAATTATTTAGATTTGTTTTATTTAAGTAAAGATTTTTAATTGAAATTCATTTCTCATATATTTAGCAAAAGTCTCTACAAAATCTTTCCTTATCTATTTAAGTAAACACAACAATTTACCAAAAATCTCTACACAATCTTTTTAAAAATCTCGACTTAGTTAACTTCTGATTTTTATCTGAAAAAAAAAATAATTAATTGTAACGAGTGATGTAAAAATCGGGAATGTTGATACTACAATTTCTTCTAATTCTTTTTTTCATATAATGAAAATTATTTTTTAGAGATATTTTCTTAAAACCTCTAAACAAAACAAAAGGTTTCAAAAGATAACTTCTCTTTTGGCGGGTCGACCCTCAAACCCGCAACTCTCTACGGGCTTATCCGCATGAACCTGCGACCCGTAGTGGATAAAAATATTTTTCAAAAAAAAATAACAAATGATGTTTAATTTTACGGGACGGGGTTATATGGTGCAACGGATT